CCATCTCCATCACCATCTCCATCTCCATCACCATCTCCATCACCATCTCCATCACCATCTCCATCTCCATCACCATCTCCATCTCCATCACCATCTCCATCACCATCTCCATCACCATCTCCATCTCCATCACCATCTCCATCTCCATCTCCATCACCACGGGGAGCTGTGATCCGGGCAGCCACGGGAGGATGCAGGGGTGAGTCCTGATGGACCTTCCTCGCCGCTCATCCGCGGGTCCCTGACGCCGTGGTGATGTGCACTTCGGGGTGGGCAGGTGGGTAGGTCGGTCAAGGCAGGTCCACACAGAATCAGATGTCCCCTGGCCAGCAGCAGCTGAGCGACTCTGCTCAAATTCAGCTGCCCAGTGGGTGCAATTAGAGGTTTGCTCTGTATTTCCTCCTTGCTCCAGTACTCAGTGTTAACACCAGTCCCTGCCTGTCACATATGGCTGTTATAGAACAGGATAGCAGTACACACCATCCTAAAAAGAGTCCAAAAACAACAGTGGTTTTTCTCCAGTTCAGGAATAGCACTTGCAGCTGAGACAGGAGTCCAAAGTGTTCTTACAGTCTGATCTGAGAGTCCTGCAGATAACTCTTATCCAACGGGCAGAGGAGTTCAAATCTGCACCTCTGAGGTCAAGAGGACCCGGAGCAAATGAACAACAACTTGGGATTGGCTTTGGCCCAGAGTCAGCTGAACTAAAATGCACAGTTTGAGCTGTGCAATAGTGATCCCCACTCTCCCACACGCAGGGCTCCTAAATGAGAAACTAAAAGGTGTATCATTCATCTCTGCAGTTACTACCAGAGCAGCGCGACAGAGAGTTACTTTATCCCCACTTTTGTAAAACAGAGTGCTGGAAACAACAGTTACAGAGAAGACACGGCGCCTACCACGGGAAACCTGTCACACACCACTCTGCACGTAAAGTGTCGCTTGGCTTTAAGCTTGGAAAACAAACACAGCACATCAGGATGCATCACAGCTCACAGACATCACCGAGGACTTGAGTCACGTTTGGGGTTTCAAACTCTATCAGGTACAATGTTTCCTAATGGTCGTCTCCTACCCGTCATGTTGGCGCCAGGGCAGAGGCTTTGGGAACACACAAACCTTTGTAACATCTTTGAACGAAAACACGTGCACTTTCGTAAAAAAAAAAAAAAAAAGGCTGCACTCCACCAGTTATCTATAATATCCCCAAAACAGGTTGCTGCCAAGAGGCTCAGTCCTGCTCCTGCTGATTTCAAGGACAAATCCTGGAAAGGACTGACCTTGGTGGGAGTTCCTGATCCTCTCAGAAGGGTTCTGCACACCGCAAAGAGTCCTTTATACCATTTGGAGGGCAAAAGTCACCAGGGCTGTGTGACAAGCCAGAACACTAGTTATCCTTTAGATGATGCATTCTTTTAACTTACACTCTGTAGCATCACAAAATGCATCCTGGTGACCACTGTTTCCCTTTGCACACTGTGTAAGAGAAATTTCTGTGTAGATACAGATCAGTAAATACTTTTAAATAGATCAGCAAACAGAAGAAAAATCAGGCTAAGTTGAATATGAAAAAGACACTGTGGGCTCCTTACTAAGCAGCAAGATTAGCAGCTGTAATTAATTCAGAGATTATTTGTATCTGAAGAATACAGAAGACTGAAGATGGACTTATGCACCTTTAGAAAAAAAAAATTCTGGAAAAGGCAAGAGGGAGGGCAAAATGGATTTAAAACGTGAGCTGGCACGTTGCCTGTTGCCAACAGAAAGCAATGGCTGCACATTAAAGGGAAAATTCCACCACCTCTCTACCACAATCTAAAGAACCTGGTCAGACAAAGCCCATGGGAGTAACAGGTAAGGTCTGACTGGTACCACCCAGCTGCCCTGACAGGGACAGCTCAGGGGGGCACAGCCAGACCTTCTCTGCCCCTGAGCTCTGACAAGTCCACAGCCCCACCAGGGCTGGGCACTTTTCTAACCGGAGCCTCCAGGTCAGCCAAGGACTGATTTCTCCCTCACCTGGGCTGTTGGATTTCCAGGAAAATTATGCAGGTACTTGGGAAAACCCCCACTGCCAGCCAGTTCTCAACAATCCCCCTTGGCATCTGCTTAAAGACAGCAGGGAGCCCGTGCCAGGAAGGGAAAAGACTGCACTGCACAGAACAGGCGTCCTCCCTGTGTGTGACAGAGGCCAGAGCTGCCTCTGGGAACCTCAGTCACTCCTGCCCCAGGCAAAAACTCCTGCTGTGCACAGGTAACAAACACTGCTTTCCCCAGCTCCAGGTTCTCCTGAGGACTATCAACACCCACTGGTTATGGACAGTGACTGCACTTCTTGCCTGGAAAAAAAATAATCAGACTGAAGAGGACGCAGATCTTTATTTTCTGAGACAGAGTTGTATTCAGGGACCGATTGCTCTGCCTCTGTGATCGTTCTCAGCCCAGACATGAGATCAGTGCTTTGGGTATTTTTGTTACTCATCTGCCTAATTAGACTCCTGGCAGAAGGGACGGAGTGTGTGTTCCCAGTATACTGGAATCCAGTGATGCAGAACTCCACTGACACACTACAACAGGCCTCAGATACAGCTGGATTTTTCGGAAGGCAAAAAAACAATTCATACACTAAATAAATAATCTCCAGGAAGATCACAAAAAATTTAAATACAATAAAAACCAGGCATAGCAAAAATAGATGAAAAAAGCATTCTCTGTAAAAACATCACATTATGTGTGTGTTGGTCTTTATATTACATGTGCAAGTTCCAAACCCCGTGCATTGCCTGACTTGGCAACGGAGCACTTCGAGCCCCACCACACAGCCCTTTACCACAGGTTGGATACCACAGTTTCTTCCCCACATCACTGTTTTCTGTATTTATATAATCAGTCTTCTGCCCCCACTTAGGTAAAGCCTTCCCAAAGCTTTCTGTTCTTTGCATTTTAATAATTTCAAACCCGGATATTAGGCCGTAAGCGCCAGGGATCACGTCCAAAGGGGGTGCTGAGACTGTTTTCCCCTCCTCTATTTTTGGCCTATTCTGTGGAGACTGCGTTTTCCCGCATAAATGAAGATGTGAGAGAGGTTGCTTGCCATGGTTAAATCCTGGGCAAGCTTTACTTTATGCCTTTGGATTCTGCCCTCACGTTTGCCAGCACAGCCTCGCTACATATATCTATTTATTTACTCTTGTCCTCTTTTCTGTGCCTTGATGCAGCAAACTGCGGGACAGCACGTTATCTTTATTTCTGTTCCTGACATATCGCTGTTCCTGCTGCAGAGAACAGATCCAGGGAAGCTGCGGCTATCACAGGGTGTCCTTGCCTGCCCACACAAAGTAACAGAGGGCACTTGAGCCCCACACCCTCGAAACAAACAGCCTGACACCAGCGCACACTGCGGCATCTGTAAACAAATGTGCAGCGCCGTCCATTTCAAGGAAAAAAAAAATTCAGCCTGCAGTTTTTTGTTCTCACACAAGAGCTCTGAGGAACTGAGCCTGTAAATGGAGGGGGGAAGGTGGAGTGATCGAGGCAGAGCTCGCAGGCTTTGCGTCTTTAGAGTCCAGCGCTCAGACTGACCTGAAAACACCGGACTGAGACCACAGGAAACATTCAGCCAAACCTGCATGAATGGGTGTGTTAATAGCTGCCTGTCAACACTTGCTGTTTCAGCTTCGTCAGCTGCCCGTGGAGTGTTTGTTCAAAGTGGTGAGTGAGCCCACTCAGGAGTTTTCGAGTCAGCAATTCATAAAGACATCATACACGAGTCTTTCTGTGAGAACAAGGGGATGCAAGGGAGAAAAATTCGGAAGAAAAAAATTTTAAGAAACAAAGAAAAATCCTTTGGTACCTCACCTCGCAGTCCAGTGTATAAAATCTCATTGTAAAACCTCTAAAAGATTTCTGGTTATTACTTCAGATCCTGCGCTTACCTGATAAAATTTGTAACGTGACAGCACAGCTCTGTTTTCAAAAGCTATGAAGTGATTAATACTGTTTTCAGGCTTTCCAAGGATAATTTCAACCAGCTCACATTTTTCCCGAGAACGGATTGCACACGGCAATGAAAACAAAAAAAGCAAAAGCTCTGCTGCAGATTCCAGAGGCATACACGGCGCTGCTGCTCAAGGAAACGGAGCAGACAATGCCGCCAAGAAGCCTGGACACGGGCATCTTTAAACATCAGACAAAGCCCACCGGACTGTTAAATTTACCTTGAAGCATCCGGGGCTTTTTTTTTTTTTTTTTGACAAGTGCTCTCTGTTGATGTCACCGCGTGACAACGCCAGGGCAGTCAGAAGACTGATTATTAAAGGCAGAAACAAATCATTCAGGAGGTCAGGCAGCGATGAGGGAGAGCTATAAGCTCGTCGTCAAACGCGTTTAGCTAAAACATCATTAATAGAATTCTTCAGTGTGGCGCTGGCTCTAAGCTAGAAATGCAATGTCATCGTTCAAATTCATTTTGGAGTGCTCTCTCATCCCTGTGGCAGGATGCCATCATCCATACAGTTTAACAGGTGAACTGGGGGGGGAGAGGGGAGGGAGTGGGGAGAAATCAAGGTGGAGTGAAAAACACAGAGCAAAGGGGGGGGAGGGGAGGGGGAAAAGACAACGAAACGAGCGAAAATAAATTACAGATTATGATTTAAATTGGTCTGAAAAAGGGATCCCTGCAGAGTAGAAGATACTGCCTGAGGAGCGCGGCGGTGCCTCAGTGGACCTTGGACTCGGGCCAGTCGTACACGTCTGGCATGAAGGACTCGTACTCGTAGGACCAGACCTTGGAGCGGATGTAGCGGTCCTTGTCCTCGGGCTCGGGGTAGTGGAAAGCCATGTTGTTGGCGTACAAAAACTCCATCACCTGCAAAGCCAAACCACCGCTGCAGCCCCCGTGCCTGTGGCTGCAGCCAGGGCGCAGCGCCCAGGCCGTGCCCTGGGCTCACACAGCCCGGGAACAGAAACGCCAAAATCTCTGCTACGATTCCCGAGCGCCTCGGCAGGGACCTGAAAGCTCGGGTTCCGAAACTCGGAGGAGGATTGCTTTGGCCCACCATCAAACAAACTGAGTGTTTTTACAAGCATCTCCTCCCAAAGGCACAAAGAGATGGGCGTCTTGTGCCCAAGCACCTCGTGCCCCTGTGCAGTTCAGGAGGTTAATGTGCACACAAACCACTTCTAGTGCAGACCACTCTTACGCTTCATACTCACCTTGACAGCGATAGAAATAGAAACTTCCCTGATATTGGACAGTGGAGGGTAAAGTCTTCCTTGTGCAAGTTCTTCATCACTCAACTGTTCCGCCAGTGCCTGAGTTAGAAGAGCAAAGTGGCTTCATTTATGTGACCAACAGCATCCTGAAACACCTGGGAGAGTCAAGCTGCAACGCTCTTATTACCACAGTGCCCCCAAAGCACTGGAGTAAGGCAGTCAAAACCCCCAAATTCTCCATCTGAGCCCACATCAGCAAACCCTGATGGTTAAGCACTTAGCAAAATAAGATCCTGGTTCTTTGGAGGACGAGTTCCCCATAACCGCGGAAGTTACAAGAGCATGACGTGCCTGCAGAACTGACCACCACGTGTTTGGCAGTTTTTTACCATTGTGGAGGGATAAAACCAAGAGAAATCAGACAGGAAACCAGAGTTTCATCAAGACTTGAGAAGCTGCCCACCAAGTCACCCGCTGTCGTGTCAGACACAGCCTGCTCTGCTTCCACACTCACCTTAGCAGCCTCTAGGAAAACCTTGTCGCTAATGTGCCGGACACTGCTGAGGATCACAGCCAGAGCCACGCCTAAAACGAGATCACTGCCATGAGGGCCACATCACCTCACAGTGTGCAGCCTGCTGACGGGAGGCTGGGAGTCATCTAGAACGTTATTTCTGAAAATATTTGCACAGACGCAACTCCGAGAATTACTGACTCCGAGAATTATTAACATAACTTCAAGCGCACATTAACATTTATTCTCTCCTCCTCCCCCCTCCCAAAAAAAAGAAAAACAACCAGAGGAACCCATAATGCAGCAGCTTCCAAAGCCTTTAATGGCACTCTTTTGCTTCCTTAGAAATACTCAGCTGGGTGAGCTCACTGTGTCACATGTGGAGCTGCACGTGCCTAACATCCGTCCTGAACTGCTTTTCTCTCATTTTTACGAGCCCTCAGCTTTAACAGATGGCAACATCTCCTCACGCTGCTTCCCTAGCTGTGGCACGGCAAGAAAAAGCGCAAACAGCCCCGTCTTAAAGAGGTTAAAAGAAGAGGGGTTTATTTATCACCTGGGAAAATGTAAGCGTTGTTTCCTTGGCCGGGCTTGAAGGTCCTCCCGTCCTTCAGAGTCACCAGGTCAAAGGGACTGCCACTGGCAAACAAGCAACGGCCCTGTGGGACAGAGCAATACCCACGCAGTCAGGCAGCTGCTAAAGAGCAACCTGGAGGCAGGAGACAAGCACACACACTGAGCTGAGGCAGGGAAGCCGTTTATCTGTTTTACCACGCCTTGCTCATTAAGGCAGCAGCGACTTCGAGGAACCTCTCGGGCACAGAATGTTAAAACATCTCTGAGCGTGAACTACACCCTCCAAATAAACGACCTCTTCCTCAAGCACTAAAACCCCCTGGAGGCAAAGCATCTTGACACTGAGTAACAGGTTTAATAACATTAGCGTAAAACATTTAGGGCTCCCCAGGACCACGGTGTTTGAGGACAAATTACCGAAGAAGCCAAAGACTTGGGAGCTGTGTTTAAATGTCAGGGCATACCTATGGCGTTCCCTCCCTTTTTGAGAAGGGAGGAGAACATATGGATTTTTAGAGAACAGAACAGAACACACAGAGGCATCCACAGGTGCCACCTAGTGGAAAAAAAAAAATTAAAGAATAAAAGGTTGGTGATGGTGTATCTTCATATCCTTGCTGACCTCGTTTGGCCTAAGATTTCACACCAGCCAGGGTCAGGCTGTTCCCAAGGCCAGGACACACACGGGGTGACAGCCCTGATCCCTTAATGGCCTGACAAACTTGATTAGTTAAGTGACAAAACAAATAAAGTTGGAGATTTGCAGAGAATCACAGAACAGTTTGGGTTGGAAGGGGCCTCTGGAGACCATGTTGTCCATTTTCTAGGTAGTTACTGCATCCTGAAGGGAAAAGTATATTTTGAAGGGCAAACTATGGGTAAACTCAGTACATTTCAGAGAGCTAAAAAGAACTATGAAAACAAACAGCAGAAGGGGAGAAAAGGTTAAAGAGACAGAAACATTACTAATTTTATTAATAAGGACTGGAACCAAATCACACCCGTTCATTTACCGACCAGTGACATTTAACTGTCCAAATAACCCATTTCTGTAAAAACTGCAAGCAAAAATTAGGGTGATCCCCCTCTAGCCGTGCTGCTGGCCTCCTCCAGCCAGAGATGCCAGTAGTTTGTACATTTATTCATGCCAGACAAAGTCTTGGCTGCATAACTAATTCTTGTTCACTTGCTGTCCGAGATGCTGGAATTTAATTTCATGTACTGCAACACTGCCCAACTCACTATTCTGACTAATGCAGCATATCTGAGAGAGATTAAACCATCTTAATTTAAAAGTTTGTCCCGGGAAGGGAACGGAGCTGGGGAAGGGTCTGGAGCAGCAGGAGTGGCTGAGGGAGCTGGGGGGGCTCAGCCTGGAGAAAAGGAGGCTCAGGGGGGACCTTCTGGCTCTCTGCAACTCCCTGATGGATCCAGGGAGGAACTGAGCTCTGCTGCCAGGGAACAAGGCACAGGAGGAGAGGAAATGGCCTCAAGTTGTGCCAGGAGAGGTTTGGTTTGGACATTGGGAAAATTCCTTCAAGGAAAGGGCTGTCCAGCCCTGGCACAGCTGCCCAGGGCAGAGGTTGAGTCCCCATCCCTGGAGGGAGTTAAAAGCCCTGTGGATGTGGCACTTGGGGACAGGGGTTAGTGGTGGCCTTGGCAGTGCTGGGGAACAGTTGGACTCCGTGGTATTGGAGTTCTTTTCCAACCTGAAAATTCTGTGATTCTACTGTTGGAAGATCCAGATTTTGTCCAGAGGCTGTTATTCCAGAGCTCACTCTTGACTTTCAAATCTCTGTAGCAGGAGTTCCCTCCGAACTGACATGGAAGAGAATCTGGGTGTCAAACGGAGACATGGAATTCTGCCCTTCCCGCTGTGACACTGACACTGCTGGGGCTGTAATGCTGGAAACTGAGCCACACTAACAGAGCAAGAAGGAAGGAGTCTACAGTTCTGCATCAAGACACAAGGAAAGAGCTCCACCCACCGATTTTCACATGAGTCACTTGATTTGGGATTGTACTTACAAAAAAAAAAAAAAAAAGGGAAAAAAAAGAAGTTCTTTTCAAGAGCTCCAGCCCTGAAGTCTGCAGGCAGGCCCTGTGGCCTGAGGAGGGATCACAGCCAGCTGCAGCCTGTAGTGTAAAGGAAAGGCACCACCAGCCAGTTCAAAGCCTTACAGCCAGTGCTCTGTCTGCCCCATGCTCCCATGCCCCCACCTCCTTCCCCTCGGGCTCCCTTCAGAGACGATTAGTTTTACACCAAAGCTGTGCAGAAGGACAGAAGACCTTCCTCTTTAAAGGCAAACCCAAGGTCTGGATGTGCTGTTAAGATAACAACACAGCTACTAAGAAAAAACCACCCCAAAACCTCAACCTCCAAGCCCCCCAGGGGCAGTGGCTTTGAGGGAAAGGTGCAGAACGAGGTGTGTTTGTGCTTGGCTGGCTCACTTCGACGTGTGGTGGTGCCAGTGCACAAGGCACAGATGCTGTGAGAGGGGACAGAGGCCACCACCTGCCCCGGGGGGGGTCACAGGTCCCCGTGGGTCACTGTGAATGGCACAAGTTCTGACCTGCATGACTGAACTCCTGGGCTGATGCAAGGACACCACCCGCTTTAAGGACTTTACTCAGCCATTACAGTACCTGCTGGTCACTCTCTTAAAAGGCAGTAAAAAGACTTAGGCTATCTCAAGCCTTGCAAAACGTCACCTGAAGGATCAGGGCCTCTTTTCAAACCACCTCTGTTTACTTTCGCCAGGAGGCAAAGGAAGATCTGTGTTCCTACACCACCAAGTCCAAGCACTAATGAACCAACCCGCCTCCTGGCAGTGAGCAAACAGTGCTATCAGCCATCACACACCTCTGTTAACGTGTATGCCTCCTCTGCCGTGCACTCAGCCTTCACCGTGGGGTTGCTCAGCGCGAATATGATGGGTTGCTCGTTGATGGCAGCCATGGCTTTGATCACGTCGTGGGAGAAGAGCCTCCCAGCCCCTGCCACTCCTGCGGAAGCACACAAAAACGGGATCAGTACCTCGGGGCAGGCGACACAGCGGCTGTAGGTGAAGCTCATGTCACCCCTGGGGTCTCCCATGCAGGGCAAAGCTCCTCCAGCAGCTGGAGGTGGAACACAGGCGCTGCTGGGGGGCTGCCTGTACTTCAGGGTTTTCACAGGAGCACCTAATTAATGAGTTCCAAAAGCCTGTTTTACACGATCTTTTGTACTGATGGGTGCAAAAAAAACGGCTGTCCTGGATAATCGAGTGGGAATTACAGGTTCTCCACAGGTGATTCATCCTGGCTGGGTGTTAACAACGCACACCTGACACTGGTGTTTCTGACCACACCCAAACCCAGAGGTACAAACACACTGAAACGGTGTTATGTTTGCACAGTGGTTACAAGCTTCAGGGTAGCTAACTCAGCTAAAAAACCCACCTTTTCTTTTCCAAGTAAATCTTGTGCAAAGGCAATTGCAGTCATACCGGGAAATACCTGTAATCTTTTCTGTTTCCTGCAGGCAGGCACAGTTATAAATAAATACCTACAGGTGCCAGTGACCTGACAGGCACTGGTGGTCTGCAGCAAGGAACTGCTCCTTCAAGCCTTTCTGCAGGCAGAGTCTGACCAGAGAAGCTGACTGGGGGAAGGAAGGTCAGAAAAAAAACCCCCGAAACAACTCAAGTTGGGGGGACTCCTGTAAAGCAGAAAGCACGGTGTTTGTGGCTGCTCTCTGTTACCAAGGTGCAGGAGGAGCACTCACTCTCCACCGCACAACCCGCAGCTCAGTATGTTTCTAAGCAGAAAATCGACCTCACATTTTCATCTCATTTGCACCATCAGAAACGCAGATCGCTGCCTCCAGCCTCCCTGGAGCCACATTAGCAATTTAAAGGGCAGCAAACGACCTAAAATTACAGAAACAACAGTAACCTCACTTACCGATGATGGCTGAAGGCCGAAGTACATTCACCGCCTCTACAAACGTCTTTGGTATCTGCTCTGGAGCCCGATGTGTAAACGGTTCTTGGTTGGAATCCACCTTTTGTTCTCGGCCCTTTAGGTGAAACATTGGTTGTTTTTGTGAGAAGGACGCAGGGAGACCACCGGCCACCTGTACTGCGGTATTTCAAGGCACGGCGCACCCCTACCTGGACCAGCAAACCGTGTTTGTCGAACATCCATATTCTCCCGTAGGCTTCCTCGGCAGAAACACCACCTTCCACCATAGCCATAACAATGAGGTTTGCAATTCCCAGGGCAGCCTTGTGGATATAAAAGGACTTCGATTTTTAACAAGTCACAAGAGAGGTCTGTCTGTCATCGCAAACACGCCACCCTGTGCCCCCCTGTTCAAGATCCCCACAAGAATCCTTCAGCTCTGAGACACAGTGAATGCTTGCCAAAATGGGGGCAGACTCCTGGGACAACAGTGACACATCTTCAAGCAAAAAAGCAGAGGGGCAGCTTTCCTGCTGTGCTCCTGTGCCTGTACCAGCTCAGGAGCCACAATAAAGCAGCCCAGCCAGGCAGCAAGAACGACTTAGTGCTGCAGCCCTCCTGTCAAGAAACCACAGAGTAGTGCTCTGTGCCCAGCTCCAAAAACTCCAGACTTCCCCCTGCTCCTGCTGCCCAACATAAGGGCCTTGCAGAGGGCAGAAAGGAGATGCTGAGGGCTGAGGGAAGAAAATGCTGGCTGGCACTGCTTCCCCCTGCGTCCCTTCTCTTGGCTCGCTGCACACGCTGCTGGGTCTGGCAGGAGAAATAAGGTAGAGCTCAGTGCAACACTGGCCAATTACTGCAATCAGGGCCTTCAGCTAATTAAGTTATTTTGTCAGCACCACAGAAGCAATTGTGCTGATGTACCAAGAAGCACAGCCAGTGCTTCTCCTGACAGCGCTGCACCAGTAACTGGTGCCTGCTGCAAACACGCACTGACTTCACCTGCTGAGAAAAGCACTGTGTACTTCTCTCCTATGCTATTAAAATTAACAAGATGTTCTTAGTAAGTCATAACTTTATGCTAATTTTCCCTCTGACTACACACAAGACCCCGATACTTTTTTCAAGTCCACGCAGGAAAACGAAAAACTTGAGTCCTTGCAAACGCTAAAACACCTTTCACACAGTCCTGTTTTAAGGTAGTCCCTTCTGCTAATGTATTTCAGCCGGCCTCATATAAAAAGTTCTGCAACGAAATCCAGAGAATGCAAACCTCCACGAGTCCTGTGGAATGAGAAAACACACGGCTAAATCTGTGGTTGCTCCAGAGCCCTCGGGAGAACTCACCTCTCCTGCCCCAAGGAACAGCACCTTCTGCTCTGTAAGTGGTCTGCCAGTGGCTTTCTGTGCTGCCAGCAGTCCTGCCAAGGCCACTGAAGCTGTCCCTGTAGAAGCAGTACCAATCTAAGGTGAGCTGAACAGATCTACGTGGTTTTAGGCAAAGACTTCTGCACATGCAGTTAAGGAACACAAAGGGTATACCTTGGATATCGTCATTGAAGGTACAGTATTTCTCTCTGTATTTTCTTAAGAAACGGAAAGCGTTGTGGTTTCCAAAGTCTTCAAACTGGATAAGCGTGTTCTGGCCATACCTGCAGAACATGGCAGATATTCTTATCTTATCTTATTCTTAGCACTAGACACAGAAAAAAGGACAACCCATGCAAAACAAATCCTTCACCTAATCAATTATCTCTGGAAACAGGATGCCCTCAGGCCTTCCACTTCTACAAACAGTCCTGTTTCAGTTCCGTGCCTATTTAACAAACAACTACAAGCAGCATGTTCTAGGTCAGGGAGAAAAATCACTGCAAGGCCAGAAAGACAGCCTTGTGTTCTCTCTTGTTCCTCTCCTTATTCCTTAAGTGACTGCTTCAAGGACAGTGTGTCTTTCTGTGCCAGGAGTTCTGGCCACACTTCCCGTGCAGAAAACTGATTGTCCTACCTGTCTGTAATGGCTTCCATAAATTCATCAATCAGGTCATCGTAGACCTGCGAGCGATCCCTCTTCTGGTACAGGCCCATGTAAAACGGATCTTTTAAGAGCGTCTGAAAAAAAAGAGGAACAAATCAAAGAGAGCAGCAGGATGAGTCACTTCCTCAGCACAGGGCTCTGCAGAGTTCACAGGGGCACATTTCACACCGAAGGTACTGCATTTGTACAGCCCCTGCCAACGTCCCGTGACTTCGGCTGGCGCTCGGGCTTGGTGATGGATGCTCTTAAAATGGAACAAATCAATACTTCAAGTGAACAGTGAAGTGCTCTAATAAATCTGACTCACATTTCCAGCTTCCTAAAGCCCAGGTCAAAGCTGACTGCCTATTTCACAGGCCTATTTCCAGCACTCCAGTCACTTCCAAATGCACCGTTTCGGGGGCAAATTAACCGGCACTTTTCAGTCACTGATACATAACTGTGGAGTGAATTCCAGACCACTTACCCTTTACATGAAATATTTGGCTTCGTCTTAAACAGAAGTGCTCAAATAAAAATATCCTCTTGCAGTACTGAATGCTCTTAAATAAACACCTCTCACGGGGATAACTCAGGGCAGGCAAAGTTCAGTCAACTCACTATGTTATCGGTTCCAACGTCGATGCACACAGGCAAGCATTTATCTGGATGTATTCCTGCACAGGCTGTATACAAACAGAGTTTTCCCACTGGAATTCCCATCCCATACACTCCTAGGTCTCCCAGACCCAATATTCTTTCTCCATCAGTGACGACAACAGCCTGGGGACAGAAAAAAAAACCAACCACACACAAAAAAAAGCAGGTGAAATTATACATCATCACCGAAATTTGTAAGGATTAAATCAACACCAGTTGTGTTTTTTCCCAGGCAAAAACTCGGCTGTGTGTGCGCAGTCAAACAAAGAACAGACTGCAAGGAATATTTTACTTAGAGCAATGACTTAATTTACTTAAGGCTCAATGTTAGAATCTGCTATGCTCCTTTTTCTTTGCTGGCATCCACTGCTCAAATCCCTGTGGGAGGACCCAGGCAAGGATTACAGCCATGTGGAACTGCAGCCTGTAGCCCGGGTTTAGGATTTCCACTTGTAAATCCAGACACCATTTAAGTTTGTAGAGTATAAGGTGAAGCTCACCTCGCCCTGTGGTTCCCGACCCGGCTGGGTGATACGGAATTTAATGGAAAATCTGGGCCTCATCTTGAGGACAAGATCACCCTTCCTACTGCTGAGTGACACAGTTAAGTAAGACCCAGAGGTGCATTCCCCAGCTTTATGAAGTAAAATAAAAAATCTGGCGAGTCTAGTTCTCATCATCCCTGTCTCCTCGAACCAAAAAACTCACGTTTAGAGTAAAACACTGCTTTTCAAGACATGCATTGTCTTCATGAGCTGCATTTTGCCATCACCGCCAAAGAGCCAAGGATGCATTATTTAATGCTTACATTTCCATCAAATACTAATAAATCTTGAAAAAAACCTAAAATGAGGTGAAATAACAGCTAGGAATAAAATTACACAGCGGTGGTACCTTAACGTCGTTCTCCGGCCAGTTGTTCACAATTGACCTTATGTGGCCTCTGTCTGAGATAGAAATAAATAATCCTCTGGAAGAAAAAAAAAGAAAAAAAAAAAAAAGCAAGCTGAAATATTTTACGGGTGAAAATGAGAAATTTCGCCTCGCTTTGTAAAAACTCAAGCGTCAAACAGGACAATTCCCTTAAAATCAAAAGTGTTGCCATCACTGGCATAAATCATCCAAAGGACAAACGTCTAACACAAAAGCCTGCTTGGCTGCTTTGAAACTCTTAAGGTAAGAGCACGTTTCATGATGCTACCTGGATTTTACACTACTGCAGACATTCACCCATGAGTTTCTCACTGCCTTTATCCCAGCAGCAGGGAAGGATCAGCCCTTCCTCCACACAGCACTGAAGCCCTCGAGCAACAGGGCTCCAGAAGCACACTGGGAATTGCAGAGAGAGTGCCATGGAAATGAGCTGGAATGACCGCCAGCCCGAGCTGGTTTCCCCAGCACAGAGCTAGTAACACGAATATTTGTTTGGCAGCCACTGCTGAACCCAAACCAGACCCCAGCCAAGTGTACTTTACTGTGTCAGAACAACTGAAAGCTGACTCCTGGCAGCACAGCAGGCATATGATAATAAAATTATAATAAAAGTAGCAGCAATAAGCACTTATGCATATACACATGGTTCTTACTTTGGTCTCCTGAAGATGTGTCCATACTGGGAGCAGGCAAGGCCTACTGTTGGTGTGTACACAATTGGCATCAGCCGCTCAATATCGTCCTGTAACACCCTATAGAACAGTTTTTCATTTCTCTCCTGGATGCCCATTATATAGATATACCTGTAATTAACCAAAACAACGAAAAACACCACTCACTGTTGCGTATTCGGGCTCGTTTAAAACTACGTGAAGAAAAGTGAAAGAGAAAAAAAAAAAACCCACAACACTTTCTTCATAAAATTCCTGCTCCTACTCAAGTCAGACTGAGAGCACCCAACAAAAGCTGGGAAAAAAAGAGAGCAGCAGCCCCAAAAAGCTGAAATAAAAATGCTGGGTGTGACGTACCACGCAGGCTAAAAAGTTAAAGCACAAACACGCAGAGTGTGGTAAAAGATAACCCGTGGATTTATTGCAGGACGCAGCTGGGAGTCTCATTACTGCTATAACCAAAATTACCAGAGAAAGAATTTTTCATCCAGAAAATGTTTAAGGTCCTGACAGCAAGGTCCTGTTAAGGCTAACACGCACCTGAAACAATTTAACTCCCAACAGCGAGTTCATTGTGAAGGGCTTACCTTAGGCGTGTAAATTAAACCTGAATTTTTGCAAATTTACACACCAATTCACCGCGTATCGATTTATGTTCAGCCCTGCTGACCCAACAACACAAAGATAATGACCTAGCAATTCGTCTTAGGCTACAGCCACTGGGCACCTGGCCAGTACAGAGGACATGACATGTTTCAGATCAGCAAGTGACATGATGCGGATTTAAGAGTCATCTTTCAGTTTTCATGAGAACAAAAGAGCTTTGATGTGGTCCAGTGAGCCTCAAACCACTCCAGCTCTCCTCTCCCCTTCAGCAGACTGTGTGTTTTTACATGCAGATAGACAGGATGCTGAAAACATGCCTTTCTGAAAATAAAACAAACCAAAATCCTTCGCATTTTGCCCACCAAACCAGTGGGTAAAACAACAAAAGGCCCATACGGAAAAAATGCAAGTGATGAGACTCAAAACTCTAAGCTCGCAATTCCCCCTCCAGCAGGAGCTACTGAACATGTAAAACACAGGTTTTCATGCCTCAAACCCTCAATTTACCTTCATTATCCATATTCCTCTAGCATGTGCCAGCTCCCCCTTCCTCCCCCCGCAAAGAGTTCTGTGCTCTGACAACCTGCCACCTGATCTTAAACATTACAGAAATACATACTGCAGGTTACAGGAAGGTTTTGCAGCTCTGTTAATAATAATTTGCACACATTCCTTTCTGTTATCTCACGACCACGGAATATTGGGGGAAAAAAAAAGAAAAAAGAAAACCAAAAAAGCTCTCCAACCTCATCCAGCCACATGGTCAAAGCAGCTTCCTGTGTGCTAAAGCGAAAATAAACACCCCACCAACCGAAAAAACCCAGTGGGGGCACTGGAAACTTTGGTTGTCCCCACACGGTGTTTTCGTGTTTCCAAGTTATTTCCATTCACAGCTTCCGTTTCATTCCCCTCTCCCATATTCCCATTTACTCGCGTGACAGAACGAGGCCGGAGGAGCTGCTTACTTCTCCAAGGGGTCTGTCATTTTTGCCAAATTCTTGTGGAACCGTAAGGCTTGGATGTCCTGTGTCTCTATTTTAGGAGGTAGAAGTCCTTGCAGCCCAAGCAATTGCCGCTCGTGTAAGGTAAAGGCCATTCCCTGAAAAGGAGAGGTGAGAAATAATTAGCAGCTCTTCCTCTGGCGTTTCTGGGAGTACTCTTATTCCTGACTATCCACGGCGCTTGCTTTTTTTCTCGTGGCAGACGCATTTAGCCCACAGATTTTTATCTTAATTGCTCCATTTGCTGCTTTCTTGTACCTACTTTCACTAACACAGGCAAGATCCCAAAGTTGCTGAGTCGCCCTAACGCTTCTATTAAGGCCACAGTTCAACCCAAACCCTTCGTTTTTGCTTAGGGGTAGAACTAATCTACTTGTCTACTACCAGAAAGCCTCACTTGTGGCAAATTAAGCTTCGGAAGAGCTAAACCGCAAAAGATTTCCCGGTTCTCTGTTTCAGGGTGGACGAAGAGTTTTAACTCATTGTTATTCAAATACTCAATTTGAGTTATTTAATGACAGCATTCAATAAAACAGGGTTTTTTTTAGTTAGCACACACAGCAGGCTGCAGGGAAGTACTTGCTGGTAGAGACTGACAGGCACCTCCACGGAGCAGTGAACTCCTGGCTGTAACTTTGGAAAATATTCACTGATCCAAGTGAGGGTTCACAGCCAGCCTTGTCCCAAACTGCTGGCCCCGCTTCCCAAAACAACTGGCCCCACTTTTAAGTTTGCAAACGATAAGCTCTTCCTTATTTCAGCTCGTCCAAGTGGGTCGAGCTCAGCGAAGGATTAAATCAATATCTGCGACCGTGGGGGAGCTCGAAAACCCAGGGAAGCCTCTGCTGTGCCAAGGCTGTGCATCAACCTGTGAGGAAAAGGGGAATCCGAAAGGGAAGGGCTTGCTAACTGCAGCGCTCTGGGAGAGATGGAAAGGAGATCTGCTCCCAAACAACATTTCCTTTGTTTACTAAAAAGCAGGCAGATTAAAAAACACAGGGCGCAGTTTCCCCACGCTGGAAGCGGACTCTTACTGCCAAAAAAACCCACCAGCCCCAAAACATCTAAAATAAGCCTTCTAAGGTTTGTTTTACGCCTTGTAATTACATTCCAAGTGCCTCTTGCAATCAGTGAAGTCACAGAGAATAACCTGAGCTGGAAGGGATCCCCAAAGATCATCGAGGTCCAACTCCTGAAGGCACAGGAAAAAAATCAGTATTTTCCCACTTGATGATAAAAGACATAAATTCAGGTTAGAATATAAATATTTTCACCTCTGCTTATTTGTGAACACACTTTCACAGGCATTTGCAGAAAGCATGGCCATTAATGAAAAGTCTCTAATTCAGAATATATTCTTAGTGTAATTAATCACACCTGAGTGGTTTCTAACCAATACAATACTCTTTGGGGAAAAAAAATCCCATCATTAAAATAATAACTGTTTTTACATAATTACCCTCTCTGCTTATTTAAATCATATTAAATATCAGTTGTTTTGACTGCACTGATTTAAGCAGTCCACCTGCTTTTCTGTACTAATTCCATACTGTGTCCTGAAGTAATAAAATACTTGAAGAGCTAGAAAGCAAGGGGAAAAAAAAAAAAAGAACAAACCCCCCCAAAACTTTCGTGTTTTGCAAAGAGCACTTGCAATTACTTTCTTGTAGAAAACAATCTTAAGTTTTTAACCCTAAAATAAATTTGGGGGTTTTTTTGCACTTATCTGTATTTCTGCCGACCTTCCAGGTAATGGATTTGACACTGAATACTGAATTCAATTTGTCCTTTTTTCTACTGGGTCAGTATCCTTTTCCTACCAGTAGTTGCAAGTCATTTGCAAACCATTGTTTTCTTCCAGTACTAAATATAAACAAATTTCAGGTGATGGTTCACTCCTGAACTTTTCCCTCTTTCTGCCGGTTTGTTGGGGTTTTTTTGGGTTTTTTTTGGTTTTTTTTGGCTGGGTGTACCAGTCACTTCGACCACTTCAGTGATATTTATTTCAGAAAACTGACTTGAATAATCCAGCATTTCCAACTGAGAACATGACCAAGTAAACACCACTGGCATGAGAAAAAAAAAAACAAACACAAACCGAATGCCATTTTCTTTTTTCCTTTTTGTATAATGCAAAGGATCTTCTTTAGTTTCACTTCTGCATATATTGTAAGAAATATTGATCCTGTGATCTTCCCCTTTTCCTTATATGCCCCCTAATTTGTTGCCATCAGCAACCCACCTTTAATCAGTTCACTGACATTTGGTTCCTGTCCATAGGCAACCTGGGTCGTCAGTGCATCTGGAGTTACAGTAACACTAAGCAGGGTGAATTTTTAGGTGGTAATAAGTACTTCCAGCTGTTTATTTACACGGCAGTTACACCTCACCCCATTTAAAAGGTGCTTTAGCTTCTGCCCAGGCCTAACTCGGGAATCGGAATGACATCAGCCTCCACAGAAAAATTTGATCCTCGGTCCAAGTGGAACAGAACATCTGTCTACAGCAACAGCACTCGGGGTGTTCCATTCCATTCCTTCCAACACTTGCTGTGTTCCATCCATCACCTTTATCCGTGACCACCAGCTGCCTCCTGCTCCGGATTTGGGATTGCGGCTCGCTCCCCACACAGCACCTCAAAGGAGGGAGAATTTCCTTGAACCAGCGTGCCTGGGGAGCTGCAGAATCACACATTTCCTATGCTTTTGCCTCCCTCTGTATCCTCAGCAAGCCTGGCAGAACCAGTCCCAGCGAATCAGGAGGCCCTCAGCAATTTGCAGCGGTGGGACTGATGTCCTCAAAGGCCTTGAAGACCCCAGCGCCTACTTAAGGGCCAAATTTCCTCTAGTTTTCCCTGGGATTACACACCTGAATACTGTGATGGTTTGGATTTAAGTCACAGGGTCACTTTTTGGCTTCCATCGACCCCACAGTGCTGGGTGTCCTTCCCCTGAGTGCCGTGTGCCAACTTTCACTTAGATTAGTCTCCTTAATCCTCTTTACAGCTCAGAACAAACAGGAGTCCTTTCTAAGACAGCACAGACAGAGCAAGGAGGGCATCCAGGAGGAAACCCAGCACACTTCAAAGCCCACAGATGGATTAATTATCGCACACAGACAAATTTCATCGCCAACAAAACCGACCGTTCTGCCGTGGGAGAGGAAAAAGCGAGTGAGGGGATGTGTTGACAGTGTTTTAGTCAAGGCAGAGGCTCACACTCGTACCACCATGAACTCTCTGGCACTGGGACCTCATAGCAACTGGGCTCTATCACGCAAAGCCAGCGCTGCTATAAATACCAGCAGACACGAATTCTAGCTGCCTGCTCTGCGTGAAGGTAAACAGGAGACCCGAAACCTTAAGCGTGATTTTTATAGCACCACCGAGTAAGTTATTCTGAGAGGTTTCTAAGTAGAGAAGCACTAGGGGCGATAACTCTTTCCCCACCTGTGAGATCTTGCAGGCACATAGACAGGAGGGGATAACTCTCACAGGTAACAAAAATCCCATTACAGGCCCCTGAAAAAAGGTTTAAGTAAAGAATGTAACCAAAAATGCTACTGTTTGGAAAAACGAGTTAGCCTAATTCACAGGGAAGGTTTAACAAATGGTTTCCATGTAACTCCTGATCATCCTTAGAACTTGTTCAGCAGTGTGTCACAGACTGTGAAGCAGCATCATAAACATTTTGAAAATAAAGCATATTTTACTTTGGACTGTGGGCTGCTTCTCTTGACTTTGCTCCCTTTTCCTAAATCGCAAAGTTCACTATTGCACAAGATGCCTCCACCGATAATTAATAAAGCTCATTCATAAGAATCAAAGGTGTCCTTGTTATCTCGACCACAGATTCAAAGTTTCTCTGCGTTCACGAGGGCAGGGTCAGGATACGGATATCTCATCTGATTGCCTTCCTCCTTCATTTTTTTAAAACCCCATTTTATATCTTTATTCTCCCAGGAACAGCACAGCGTATGTGCTGCAGGGTGTGGCTGACTGCAGCACAGCAATTTACTCCCTGCTGAACTGTGAAACAACCTGGACCTTCATCAGGTTATTCACCCTTTGAACAAACACCTCCATCTCTCTGCAGGCAAAGTCGCCACCAGCTCTCGCACCTCCTCCGCACGTGTGAAAACAGATTCAAATCACTCTGGCTGATGAACCACTCCCGGCTAACCCACAGCTGCCTCATTTCCTAGCCATGTGGCTTCAACTAAAAGCATCCCCCCCCCCCGCAGAAAAGGGGGAAAAGTCAGAAAGAGAAAGCCTTTACGCAGCGCCAAGGAAGCCGCTCAGCCTGTCTGGGGTTTGTGTTCCGTGGTTAGGGTAGAGCTGTATGCTGCAAACCGTGAGCACGATTTGAAATGGCACCCCCGAAACGCCTCAGAGACGTTCCATTAAACCGCTGCTTCTCTAGCTCAGCAGAGGTCGTGGCTCTTGTTCTCCCTTAATGGCATTGATCCTTACGACAAAAACACCAGGGCGGCTCCCTTCCTTCCTCCACCCACCAGCCCACCAGCCCCGAGCAGAGCAGCTGCTCCAAGTTAAATGAGGTTCAGTGCCACCCACCACCTCTCGGCACTCACAGCGCCTCTCCAGACAGACGACAAAAGCTGGTTACAGATTAAACAGTTCCACCTTTCCGCACTTAATTCCTTTTGAGAGCACGCAGACCTCAGGGGAGCTGACATAAAAAACTGCAGGTGCACGGCCACGCAACCTCCAACCAGCAATCCCTCCCATCTCCAAACACAAAGTTGGTGGTGGGACTTTTGGGCTCTGTGCTGTTGTGTGTGATTCTGTCAGTTTCCTGCCTTCTTGGACCTTTCTTTCCTGGCTGATCAGAAGCTGCCAGGCGTGTTTCAGGCACTGCATTTCTCAGCCACAAAGACAGCCACCGCGTGCATTTACATCTCCACGTCCTGTTTATCCCCGTTTCCCCAGGAAGGCACATGGGCATTTGTGTATTCTGCACCCTGGCTGCTCGACCCAGCTGACACAGCCCGAATCTAAAAAAGCGTTAAAATAAATCAAACGTGTCAAAAACCAGCATGGTGAGAAAGGGCAGCGGAAGGGGAAGAGAACATCACGCTTTTAGATCTTCAAGTTCACACAGTCTTTTCTTCACATTCTCTTGCCCTATCCCATTTATTTTGTCCAAACAGCTTTGATTTTGGGGTTGAGGTTTTTTTTTTTTGTTGCTCATTTGTCTTTTATTTCAAACTGGGAACACACAGCCGGAGCGCTTCCCAGAAGCCAGTGAGGTCATGTACAAGTTTGTTAAGGAAACTGATTCTTTATGCTAAGGTAAATCTATCACAGTTTCTGGAAGTATTTGGTAAGGCATGGATGAAAATAAATCGGGCTGAAAAACCTGGGAATGAATGCAGACGAAACTGTGATTAATCTAACTGTTAATAATTTAACTGTTAATAATTTAAAAGCTAAGCAAAACACAACATGTGAGAAGATGACCACCCATATGGAAGGTAGACACTAGGAAAGTTCCTCAGGATCAGTCTGGGATTAACTTGCCACCTGTGAGCCTCTCCTTCAAAATTTATTGTGCATTTCCATGCGTGTGTGCTCAGGCCTATGCACACACACAGATACACGTGGATGTGTTCAATGTGTTTAATGTGTTTAATGACCTAAAGATACCTGCTGAAGCTAAAAGTTTGAGAGGCATTGTTGGCAGGGGAGAACAATGATTAACGAATTCAATAACGGGAGGAACGGACACGAACAAAGTCAGGGGTCGTGTACTCATAAACTGTCTGTTCCGTGCTGGAAGAAGAAATACTGGCCCAACTGAAGCATCACCACGATATAATAAAAATTTAATTGCCAGTACTAAACCAATGAGGTTGTCCTAGCAGCATTCCAAATGCCCAACAAGCTCAAAGTGCTGCCTTGGCACCGCGGGGATCTCCAGCAGAACAGAAGGTCCTGGAGCCAATTAACTGTAATCTGAATCCCTGCCAGAGAGCAGAAATCAAACATCATGGAAGACTGTAAGCAGACATGGATGCCAGGAAAAGTTACAGTAGATTCTGCAATTGCCTGGCTGCAGCAGTGACTGGTAAGAGCTCACGACCCCTTCTGAGCCACCCCGACAACAAACGCTTGAAAACTGGAGCCCAGCCCGGCTGATGGAGGAGTGTCCACCTGCAAAAGGCAGGTAAGGGTGGGCAAGAAAAGTAAAAAAGAAGGAGGAGAGAAAAGCCTAGTCCAGTGGCAAAGGACACGAGCAGATTAATCTGCACAAAGGGGAAGGGCTGTCTCCTGCCAGCAGCGCTGCCACCCTGCAGTCCTTCGTTTTAGGGCCCACGTGCATCAGGGGAGACCAAGTGTTCTGTGGAGCTGATAGAGGACTGTGAAAATGAAACACGGGCAAATAAAACACGAGCCATAAAATGATGATCTCAACAAGCTGCCAGCAAGAGATAAAACCCTTTATCTGTGCCTGTACGTAGATTTTATATAAATATATATATATATATATATATGCACGTGAGGCACTCGTGGGCAAGAACAGCACAAGGGGTAAAGTACCTGCTGTGTTTAATAAATCATTTATTTCTCTGCTGAATATCCAAAATGCATTTCTGTACAGATATTGCATCCAGCATCAAGCAGCCTCACTTAACGAGCTTACAGATCCATTCCAGCAGGCATCAGCAGTGATGACACACTGATGCAACAGAGCCAAACTAATGCAGGATGGATTTTCCTCCCACAAGTATAAATTCTTGGAGACAACAAAAAAGTTTCAAAAATCAATTAGTTATTAACAAGAAGCTCTCTGTTCTTCCCTCCTCCCCCACTAAAAAAAAAAATAAATTGAAAAAGAATTTAAAAAAAAAAAATATTGCTTTGTGTTCAGTCCACCAGAGAATTCCAGGGTTAAAAAACATTAAAAAAATGGAAGGATATTATCACTAGAAAACCAGTAAGAAATGACCTATTGTTCCTGTTTCTGAATACTGTTGCATAATCATCATTTGGAAAAGCTTACAGGGGTTGAAGTAATTTCCACTGGCATGTCGAAGTGTTTGTAGCTCGGAAAGTCTCGAGATAATCTGAGCTTGACAAATCACAACAACCTACTCTTTCCTCCTTCCCTGACACAGCCACCCCAATTTCACTTTTCCAGTCAGCCAGCCTCTAGCTTCCAGAGCTCTGTCTCTCTCTCTCTTTAGGCAACCTGGATTCATGCAGTATTGAGGCTGCACTCTACTGTCCAGGGGGAAAAAGGGAAAGGGGGGAAAAGAGAGAAGGGGGGAAAGAGAGAAGGGGAGGAAGGTTTTGCTGTGCAGAGGAAAGAGTCCAGCTTCTACAGCTCCATTGCTCAGGAAATGCCCTGTCAGAGGCAGGTAGATTTGACACCTCTCCTGACCACTTCAGACACCTTGGATCAGCTACCAAAACCACCTCTCCCGATTTCTTACCACTTTTAATTTGCACATGGATAGTCTCAAGATTCCTGAAGGCCACTACTACTAGAGGGAAAAAAAAAAAGGAGATTGGAGGAGATGGGCTTGTGGGAATAGGAGCATTTTTGTGAAAGGGGACAAAGAAAAAAACTGCTCTCTTAGAAGTTCATCCCAATGCATGGAACTAACATGATATCGCTACCTCCCAGTTAGCTCCATTCAAGGTCTATTTTTAGATGCTCAGCCAGACTCTGCACAGAGATGTTCCTTAGTAATATGGCTCAGTCCTAACCCCCAGTCTTCCAGGAAAAAGCCAGGATTAGGGCAGGGAAGGCTAACACTTTGTATCACCAGCAAGACCGAGTTCAGCACTAACTTCTGCGAACTATGAAGTGAGACTCCCTGTCAGCTAAAGCCTGACTTCAGTTCAGCCAGGCCAAAGGAACAAGCCAGCAACCCTTCACCTGGCACAGGGAGGCAGGAGTGCTGACTGAGTTAAGACACAGCACACCAGGGGAAGCACAGGCTGGCAGAAGTGTCACCTTGTACTGCAGGTGCCCAGGCAGTAAACTCGAAATGATCACTGACTCCTCCATCCTCTGCACCTTTCCTCTCTTTTTTTGGCTGCGGCCCAGAGCTCTAACCCCGGGACAAGGTCCATCGGGCTACAAGCAGATGAAGGTAAGACACTCGAAAATGGCAGGCTGCCAAAACCAACCTTGTTTGTCCGTGGGTTTAGCATCAGTGGCTTCCCCTTCTCCTTCATGTGGATGCCGCGGCGCGCCATCGCGCACGGGGCGGCGGCTGCTCTCAGTCGGGAGAACATCTCCTGCTCCTGTGCTGCACCTGGGGGGAGGGAAACAGAACCACTCAGAAGTCACACACAGGCAGCAGAACCGGCGCTCGGAGGCCCCGTCTGTCGCGAAAGAAACAGGCACAGTGCTCAATAAGACCCTTCGACGCCGCGGAAATGACGACCGAAAATCGTCCCCCGCGGGGAGAAAGGAGGGAGGTTTTGGAAGGGTGAGGGCACAGGAGAGAGTGGAGAGAACACACAGGGATACTAATGGGAGCCAGCACGATGTTGTGGGCAGCAGTCAGCCAGTCAGCACTCACTGGGTATTGCCTTACACCATAAAACCCGGGGCAAATATTAACCGTCCGTGGTGACCCGTGGGACTGGCACCGCTGCAAATGCCAGGGAGGACACAACGACTCGGGCGAGGGCGGCCTGAAAATTCAGGCTGAGAGGTTCCCTGACAACTTCCTAACGACGAAATGTCACGGCCTGGGCAACAGGAAGGAAAGAAACTATGTCTGTTAGCGTATTAAGGCTGGATTAGAACGAAACGCAGAATTAAAACGGCCAAAACACCACCACCGAACTCCGGATTCCAGGCTTAGGCTTTTACAGTTCCAAACATAAAAAAAAAAAGAGAAACAAAAAAGGTTATTTTCAGGGAGAATATATCCCTTTCAACAAAGGGAATGTCTCCCTAACAAAATAAAAAAATTCGTTAGAACCACTCAAAAGCTTGGTTCTAGCCTTGCCGGGTTATAGAAACTCCTGAATCCACTTTATTCACCCATTAACTGCAAACTCTTTGGAGCAGAAATTAGGACTTATTACATGCTTTCATAACTCAGTACCACCAGGTAACGTGAACTGGACTCATCTCTCAGAGGTTATTTCACCAAGACAGAGAGACAACAGCAACCACAGGACCATGGTCTGCACGAAGACACATTGAGAGCCCAGAAAGGACAGCAAAGAACCAGGATCAGGGAACCTCTCCATGGCAGCTGGTGCCCCCTCCGAGACTCAGGCAAAGGACAGTAAAGCAGGTTATGAGACATTTTTAAGGAATGAAATGATGCATGGTTTGGATTTTTAATTTCTTCCAGATGGGAGACAAAATTGGATTAAGGAACAAAACTTCATTATCTTAAATACAGCCTGAATACTTCAGAAGACCTTTCCATAATCAAATTTACACATAATCAGCTTTTAAGAGGGCAGACTGGTCTTACAAGTTACAGTCTGAGGATTTTCTTAGAAATCTTTCCAAGCATTAAAAAAATATGCAAACATTTAATACTTTTCATCATCGGTTATGCCCGAGTTTCTCTTCCCCCCATCACAGAGAAGCAGCTCTGACATTCAGAAGCAACCCTCTCTCTCATCCTGTGCTTGTTTTGTTTAGGCTGCGCTCAAACCCCCTGTGTTCAGTTGTTTTGTGGTAAAGACCATAAATTCACTGTGCCTTGCCAGCACTACAAACAACTGCTGCCTTTCATGTGGGTCCTTCCTCCCCAAACACAGCAAGCAGTGGACCAAGCGCAGCTGGTCTTGCCAGCACTCAGGGCAGCTGAAAATCAGGATCAGATAAGGGAAATTAACTCTGTGCTGCAAAACAACCGGCCTTTAGGAACAACAAGTTCGGTTTTAGCCGGTTTTAGCCCTGGTTGCACATTTGCCATCGTTACACAGTTGTGGGTCCACCTCCTTCTGCGTACGGTCTGTGATTCCAGGGTCACAGCAAACCCCCGTCCCACAGTCCCATCAGCCCGGTGCCAGGGTGGCTTCAGTCACTGAGCAAATACCTTAAACAGGGAATTAAAAAACAGGACAAACACCACACCTTATCTTACTCCAATTAAATCTAAATTACTTCATTGCAATTAACGAGCATTTAAGAACCAAACAAGATTGTGGCCCAGATTTCTCCTACCTTGACCAATTAACTCTCCAGTCAACGAGACAGAGAGGAAAAGACTTCAGGGCTGTGATACAAATCTTACTTTCTTCTCTGCTGTCTGAGAGAGGAGACTTGATCCTTCCTGAGGTGTCACATCACTTAAAATGATTCTCTTGGTGGAGGTATCTCAGATACATAGAGCAAGTGGGAGAATCAAGTTTCATTTTCCACTTAGCCCCTCTGTTTAGATCCAAGAGATATGATCTCAGTTGATTCACATCCAGCATTAAACCTGACTGGTTATTCTCCTCCCCTGGCTCCTCTAATCATTCCGTATTTCTGTTTCACCTCCCACCTTGCACATCTCCTCCAACTCATTTTGTCAAAGGCTTTTAAAACTGTTTTTGCAAGAACCTGCCTCCAAAACTCACCCTAACATGACTTACCCTGAAACCAGAAGCAAGCAACCCTTCCCTATCCTTTGTCCATGCTCCCGTGTAGGACTGCCAGGAGCTTTGCATGCATGACACTTCCAGGGATCCAGGGGCAGCCACAGCTTCTCTGGGAAATCTGTGCCAGGGACTCACCACCCTCACAGACAGCAATTCCTTCCCCATATCCCGTCTAACCCTGCCCTCTGGCAGTGGGAAGCCATTCCCCCTTGTCCTGTCCCTCCATCCCTTGTCCCCAGTCCCTCTCCAGCTCTCCTGGAGCCCCTTTAGGCTCTGGAAGGGGCTCTCAGGTCTCCCTGGAACCTTCTCTTCTCCAGGTGAACCCCCCCAGCTCTCCCAGCCTGGCTCCAGAGCAGAGGGGCTCCAGCCCTCGGAGCATCTCCCTGGGGGAAGGACATCAGCTGAGGGAAACAGGGGGGTTGGAACAATGTGAAAACACACAGAGAGGAATGAGGTTGTGCAATGTCCTGTGAGGAGGAATTAGGAAGAAAGCAGCGGAATTGAAAGGGGAATGAAATTCCTCCACAAAGATGTGTCAGTACAACCAGAACAAGGACATCTCTTCTCCCTTCAGTACCTGGCAAGGCTGAGGACTAAACAAGGCCGTGGTGCACCTCTACACTGAATCCACCACAACTGGTTATTTCTGACTTACTGCTAAGTACACACCGTGTCACAATTTAAGGCAAATAAATCCCTCAGCATATCAGATCACAGCTCTCTGCTGTGACTTATCGGGAGGCATCTGCCCCAGGTCAAACTAATTACCAAAATGCACAAGTGCCCTTATCTGGGAGCAAATGTTTCTCTGGTGCAATTATAGTTCGCTAAATTGCAAAAGCTGCTTTTAAGGGAAAGGTTCATGGTGTTCTTCAGAGGTCCAATTACTTTGCTCCGAGAGTCAGGAAGCCCAGTGTCAATTAAAGCAAGGTCTGCTTCAATTACTGCACGGGCTGCCTGACCTGTGGATCCTACCTGACTGCTCAGGGTGTCTCCCAGTGGACAGCAACCTGTGCTGGATGACTGTGCAGCCTTCCTTCAAGTTTGAAGGGCGGGCAAGCACAAATGCAGTTCAAGCACTCCTGAAATCCCGTGCCAATAAAGAGTTCCAGTCCTCCTTTCATGTGCTGAAATTAATAAGGCCTGTGTGCCACCAGGAGCTTTTTTTTTTTTTTTTTTTGGTAAGGCAGGCTGAAATTACCAACTCAAGGCCACAGAGGCCCCACGGAGTTTCCAGTCCTTCAGGCCTCCATCGGTGTAGGTTTTTTTAAGCCAACAGACATTTTCTCTTAGGTACCCACAGCAGCCCGTCCAGTGAGTCTGCAGGTCTGGTGTGGATGCACCACTGCACTCTATTCTCTTTTTTTTTTCCCCCCCAGTAATAAACAGACAAGCCTTGCCTACCCAAGCATGACAAAAACCAGGCACACATTAGCTGGCTTCATCACCTCAGCAATGATAAGGCAGTCTAAAATTATTACATTAGGCAAGCACCGACTACAAACGTGTCTCCCCACGGGACCTTTACTCTAGGCAGCTTTTCCTGCACCCACCACCCCGCAGCAGGTCAAGGGGACGCTTCTGTTTTGCAACGGGAGCATCCCAGGAGGAAGGAGCAGGGGGACAAGGATGGGGACGTGGTTCTGTGCAGCAACTCAGCACCCCTGGCTCCCTGAGCTGACCAGATGCTGCTGCTGAGGGAAGTTTTCAGGTTCTCTTCAGCAAAGTCCTGAGCAATCACCTTAAAGGACGTTTCTAAGGCACCTTGAGATCTGCAGATTAAAAGGAACGGTCATATGGGGAGGAGATACTAATAAACTGTTCAGCAGCAGTAAGTGGGTTATTTTGGAAGCAGATCTTTAACAAACTCAAATTACTTTTCTTCCCTTTTGTCCTAAAGGCAACCAGTTCAACCAGGAGAAAAGAGTTAGATGTAGAGCACTTAAGTAGAATAATCAAGTTCACAACCTGAGGCTTGAAACAATTCAGCAAATAAAGCACACTTAGGTGAATTCAAATGAAAATAATTTCGGAACACCTTTCCAAAAAGAGTATATCTGAATAACTCACAGTGTCAGAAAACCTCTTAACACAAACAGAAAGTAGGGCTGAATTATTTGTTACTGAAGCCTTGGTTCATAACAGAACCAAACCACATCAAAGAGCTGTATCTTTGTACATTAATGGACCTGACCTGAATATTCTGATCCTTAAGAATCATGAAGTCCATTGTCTTTCACTGTGGGAACTGCAGCAGCAGTATTTTTGGCCCAGTCTGACAAGGAGATGTATTCTCGTTCTTGACTTGTGTTCCATTTGTGTAACTGGGAGGGCTACTGGTAGTAAAGGTAAGGACATCAACATATGCAGGACAAAGGCCTCCTCCCGGAAAACCCTCAAAAATACTGCAGGAATAAACAGAAAGCTACTGATGCTTTATTCTGGGGAACTGGCACATCTCTGTGTTAGAGCTGTTCAGCTCAGAAACACAGATTTTTTATTTTTTTTTTTTGGATACAAGTTGAGAGAGATGGACGAGGATGTTCTCAACAACAGCTGCACTTACAAAAGGGAATTCTTCCTGGAAGAACAACTGAGCAATAAGCACAAAGAAACTGAGCTGCTTGCTAATTCAGGGACAATCTGGCGAACTATCAGCCTGCCAACCACCTAGAAACGTCAGTGTGTACTAGCTGGGACTTAAAAAAGAAAAACCCTGCTTAAATTACAGAGAAACCTCAATAACTATCCAGTAACAGCAAAACTGCTCCTTCTGCTGCAATGGAGGTGCTGGCACCACTAGCAAAGATGAAAATTCAATTAGTACTCACTCAAGCTCAGCACACCACCACGCACTTTGACAGCTTCTTTCTTAGTTTGCAGGAGAAAAGAGCTCCAAATCTTGCCTGCGCTCACTTTGCTGACTCACAAGCCACCGCACAGGCTTATCAGAAGTTTTGTCCTGCGACTGCAACGCGCAAATTCTCTTAAAATACAAGCCCGGGCTAAATTTTTGCGGGTGGTATCAGGTCTAACAGCACATTAGGCACCGCTGGCTGCACACACACACACACACACACACACACACACGGGGCACTTGCAGAGCTCCATATGCTGCCCAGCCCTTCCATTCGCCCACATGGGCAGAAAACTTCCCTTTTGCTGCTCGGTACTTTGTGGAATTAAGGACACACCAAACAAGATATTTAGCGGGTTTGGTTGGTTGGTTGGCTGCGGGAGGGTCCTTTTTCATCGGCCCTTTATCAGCGCGCTGTAAGTTTTCCCTTGTTCGGGGTTCTTTTTTCCTGTTAGTTAAGGGATCCTTGCCACGACACCGCACCCCAGGTGCCTCGTACAGCACTTCATGGGCAGCTTTTTTTAACGTTTCGGCGCAGCGAGGCCACGAGGTGCCAGCGCGGGCGGCGCGTCCAGCCACGGCCGCCTCTCTGAACGGAGCAGCCGAGGAGAGGCCAGACCCAAACACCGGCTCTAAAAATACCAGGCGGCGTTTCCTCCTCCTCCCAGGCCGCACCGGCTGCTCTGCCCCTGCCCAGCTTTCGCTGTCCGGGGCCACGGGGAGGTCAGGGCGGGCCGGGGACACGCCGTGCCCCCCCCGGCCCGGGGCAGCCCCCGGCGGCTCGGCTCGGTTTGTCACCGCTCTGACAGGGGGAAACACGGCCGGGGCTGTTCCCCGGGCAGCCCCGCACCTGCCGCCGGGCCCAGGGCTGCCCCCGCCGCAGGCCGAGCCTCGGCGCCTCGCACCCGCCGTGCTGCTGCCTCGGCACGACCCTCGCGGGCCCCGGGGGGGGACACGGAGCATCCCGGGCGGGTCCATCCCCTCCCCGAGCCCGGGCGGCCTCCAGCGCCTCAGGACGCCCTTAAGACACGGGTTTGTTAAGGACACAGAGGCCTGCGGTGCGCCGCCGCAGCTGTGAAAGTGTTACCAGAACGGGATCTACCTCGTCCTCCTGCGGCTGCTGCCCGCTGAGTGATGCCGGCCGGCGACCTGTTCCTATCGAGAACAGCCCGAGCTGCGCCCGCCGCGGAACCCGCCACTGAATGGAGCTAACACGGAGGCGCCGCGGAGGGACACCCCGGGGGGCGGGTCTTACTCGTGACTGACAACCAGCGTAACCAATCGGAAGGAAGAGGGCTCGCCGGCAGAGGCGGCGCTCAACCAATGAACGCTCTCTCCTACCCCCACGGAGGGGAAACGGGGCCAGGCGCGGGGGCGCGGCCTGACGTATGTTAATGAGGTAAGGGGCGACAGCGAATCAGCGCAGAGGGGCGGGGCGAGCAGGGGCGAGGGGCGGGGCTTTGGGGGGAAGGGGCGGGGAGGGGGGGAGGGGATGGGGATTGTGAGGGGATGGGAATGTGGGATGGGAATGTGGGGATGGGAATTGTGAGGGGATGGGAATTGTGAGAGGATGGTGATGTGAGGGGATGGGAATTGTGAGGGGATAAGGATATGAGGGGATGGGGATGTGGGGATGTGGGCATGGGTGTGAGGGGATAGAAATGTAAGGATGGGGTGTGAGGGGATGGGAATTTTGGGGGAATGGGGATTGAGGGAATGGGGATGTGGGGATGGGAATGAGGGGATGGGGTGAGAGGGGATGGGAATGTGGGAGGATGGGAATGCTGGGATAGGGAAAGTGAGGATGGGGATTGAAGGTATGGGGGCATGAGGTGATGGGGATGAGGTGTGAGGGGATTGGGAATGCGAGAGGATGGAGGGTGTAGGGATGGGAATGTCAGGGGGTGGGGTCCGTGAAGGGATAGGGTCCGTGAGGGAAAGGGGTGCGTGAGGAAAAGGGGTTCGTGAGGGAAAGGGGGCTGTGAGGTAATGGGGGCTGTGTAGGACTGGGATCCATGAGGGGATGCAGGCAGCAGAGAGCAGTGCTGGGGAAACATATAATCACATACGTGTGCACATATATGTGTGTATATATGTGTTATATACATACAGAACCACAGCACTGAGGAGTTAACCTCTGCCTCAGTGTGCTGCTGTACGGAGCCTGGAGGGCTGGAATACCCTTGGACTGAAACAGAAGGCTTGGCAGAAGACATCGAGGCAGCTGGTGCTGCAGGTCAGTACCGAAACTGCAAAAGAAGAGAGCAAACCCATCACTGTTCATGACACGGGGCTGTCTGTCCTAACACTGCTCTCACCTCAGTAGAAGGGTTCAGTGTTCGAGTGTTTGGAGAGGGAAGGTAGAACAGGATGAAATGTGACCTCTCACCCCATCTCAGACCTCACCATCCCTCTCCATCCCCAAACTCTGAGACATTTTCCAGTGTTGCCAATTATGAGGCAGTCAATTAGAGAACCCCAGAACGTTTTGGGTTGGAAGGGACTTTAAAGCCCATCCATTTCCAGCCCCCTGCCGTGGGCAGGGACACCTTCTGCTATCCCAGGTTGCTCCAAGCCCCGTCCAACCAACACTTCCAGGGATCCAGGGGCAGCCACAGCTTCTCTGGACTTACCACCCTCAGAGCCACAAATTCCTTCCCATGTATCCCATCCAGCCCTGCCCTCTGGCAGTTTGAAACCGGCATTCTCACTGTAACAAGGATATTTACACAATGAGAATCCCAGTTCTCCGGCTGGCACCGAACGTGATTTAAGTGTCTCGGCGCAGGAACGAGCAGTTAAGAGAAGCAGGGTTGCTATAGTAACGGCATCAGATGTATTAACCCGCCTAATCAAAACCTCCTCCTCGTCTCACCACGGCTCTGAGGCCTCTGTCGTGGGGAGAGCACATTCAGCTGCTTTCCCCCAGCCCTCAGCACGGGCCCCGTGGTGGCTTTGAAACGCGCCCGAAGCGGCGCCGCACCTACAAACAAAAGGGGATTGTGAAAAACAACCTGCGAGGTCATGACTCCCTGCCCGGCTGAAAATAGCCCGGATTGGAGGCGTTTAAAAACGCCTGGCCTCGTACCCGAGCGGCGTAAATCACCCGCTGTAAACCCACGTGGTTTTGGGCTGGTGGAGGGCCTTGCCCGACGCACGGAGCGAGCGGTTAAGGCCTTGCTGAAACGCGCCAGGCAAGGCTTTGTTGTGAAAGAACGGCTGTCTTGGAGGCTGCGCTGTCATGAGTCACGGCAGAGAAAAACCTGCACCCCGGGGGATGGGGTTTGTCAGGGCTGCGTGGGCTCGGGCTCCCGGCAGCGGTTTTTAATCCCAGGGAAGGCCATCATTCCCAGTCGGCACCCACTGCTTTGGCACCCACGTGTTCTCCCAGAAGTTCAGTGGTGTCAGCTGTGTTCATCCTCAAATCCAGACTCCGGAACTTTTTCAAGATACGGGTCTCGTGGAGATGCTCCACCTGGAGTATGGGCCAGGCCTGGTCCGTGTTTCGTGCCTTAGCACAGACACACAGCCCCAGCCTTGCACAGGGGGGGCAGCAGAATCCTGGAATCATGGAATTGTTTAGGTTGGAAAAACCCTCCAAGGCCATCAAGTCCAACAGTTCCCCAGCACTGCCAAGGCCACCACTGACCCCTGTCCCCAAGTGCCACATCCACATGGCTTTTAAATCTCTCCAGGGATGGGGACTCCACCCCTGCCCTGGGCAGCTGTGCCAGGGCTGGACAACCCTTTGGGTGAAGGAATTTTCCCAATATCCAATCCAAACCTGTCCTGGCACAACTTGAGGCCTTTTCCTCTCCTCCTGTGCTTTGTTCCCTGGCAGCAGAGCCTGACTCTCGCCCGGCTCCCCTCTCCTGTCAGGGAGTTGCAGAGCCAGAAGGTCCCCCCTGAGCCTCCTTTTCTCCAGGATGAGCCCCCCCAGCTCCCTCAGACGCTCCTGCTGCTCCAGCCCCTTCCCCAGCTCCGTTCCCTTCCCTGCACACGCTCCAGCCCCTCAATGTCTCTCTTGTCTGAGGGCCCAGAACTGCCCCAGCACTGGAGGGGCCTCAGCAGTGCCAGCACAGGGAGGGCACTGCCCTGGCCCTGCTGCCACACCATGGCTGGGACAGCCCCGGGGCCACTGGCCTGCCATCACAGAGTCATGTGCCATAGTACAGCTCAGCCACACCCTGCTGATGCAAACCTGGCTTGTCTCAAGACAACATGGGCGCTTTACCCCAACCTACAGGGACAGCAATCCTGCTCTTCCTCTCACACTACTCCAAAGCCGCCGAGTGCCTGTTACATTTATAGCTGATTCATGCCACTCCCTGTGCTGTAGAACAGGAGGAGCAGTCATTTCTTGGTCCTCCCGAGGACTTTTATCACCATATTTGGTGTTCAGCACAGAAGAGTTTCTGTTGGCACTCGCCCAGCTCCGCAAAACCAGCCATCCCAGCCCTGCTCCCTCTCTTGGCTGTGCCAGGGCAGCCTCCAGTGAGCGGTGTCACAGCTCGCTCACTGCGGGGTGAGAATTCATTCACAAATTTTTAACACAACAGACAACTACTCCACGATAATTCCGTATTTCCTGTGCGCGCAGGCCGCCGCATTTTGCTGGGATTCCTCTTCAGAGGGAGCCAGTGGTTTGTGCTGAAGTAAAACGCATGTTCCCAAGAGCCACTCGATCACTGTTTGAAGGTGGCGTTCTTAAATCACGTTCGAGGTGGCTTCTCAAATCACCTCCACCCTCCTAAAACCGAGTTCTGTTTCCCTTTTGAGTTCTCCTGGAATTTTGATAATTTTCTGCTTGTTCTTTCTCTCTTTACCAAAGAGACCTCCCGGTGATAAACCATACTGATTGTAGCCGGTTCCATCAGATAAACAGGAGACTTCTGTTTCTCATTCTTGAGATAGCTCTGTCTCTCCTTTCTGTAACATTCCCAGTTTCTCAAACATCTTGTTTAAAGCAACGTCACCAGAGTGGGACTCGGTGTGCTTGTTTTTTACATAACCAGTTCTTGATGTAAATTAAAAAAAAAAAAATTAAATCTCTGTTCTAGTTGCCTAGATCTGTCTATTCATAGTGCTGGGCTGCCAGTCCCCTAAATACACTGATAATGTGGCTCTATAACACAGCTACTGAACAAATAATCTTTTAGGCAGTGATATTAGTTTTTATCTAACCTCGAACTCAGAAGTTTTTGCAGTACAGATTAGCAGACAAGCTGTCTCTCAGAAGACAGGTTTCTGTGGTTTGATAAACACTGGCCTCTTCACTTAATGCTCTTTATTTTTGTTAAAAAGAAGTGTTCACTGTTAACTATGACAAGGTTGGACTAATCCTCGTACAGAGAGATGACCTGACTGACTCTTCCCTTTTACATTATGAGACTGCAGCAGGAATGAGGCAGCAAAGGTGATTGTTACCCCGAGGCAAGGTTTGTGAAGAAAAACAGCATCTCTCACTAGACCAATTCCACCAAAAGATAATACTTCTCTCCACAAACCTTGCCTATTTTACCTCTTCAAAGCACCAACATTGATAAATACCTTTACCCCATTTCCGAGATTTTTATTCTACTTCTGTCGAGTGATTTTATTCTTCCGTGTTTAAATGTCATTCTGCTTTTGTATTCCCCACTGAGAGTTTTTGCACTCAAACTGGCCCCCAGACCAGCTCCCATGGGAACAGCCCACATCCATGCTGCTCAGGAGCTTTCACCATCCAAACCAACGTCCACGTGAGCGCTGCGTTTCGGGAATAGCTAATTCCCACACTGTCCCCAGCGGTTGTTTGGGAAAGCGCTGGCTGGCCTCGTCCAGAACTGTGCCTGGGATCGTGCTAACGATTTAAACGCTGTGGGTAACAAAATCGCAGCTCCTGGGAGCATTTTGTGGCACTGCTAAATCTGCCCTGATTAGGGATGACAGGGCTTGAACAGGCATCCATATGTGTCTGTGAGTCTTTCCAGCCAGGGAGCTTCGGCCTGCATGGACACCAGTCCCCCCTCACCCCCCAGTTTGGATTAATTCTTCTGTCAGTGACTCACGAAACTCTCATTGTTTAAATTATTTTTTTGCTTTTGATCTTTTCAGGCCTGTTTGGCCTCGGATTGTGGGTCGCCTCTACCCTGCTGAGCCTCTGGACAGCTAGGGACATGGTGAGAAAACCTGAGGTGGGCTGATCAGGTGGCGTTCAGACCACACAGAAGGAAGGAGCTTTTTGT